AAAAAAAATGCCCTGATGCATCTCAGTAATCCAGGTAAAAAATCAAAAAGAAAAAAAATTTGTATAGGTCTTCTGGACGGGTTCTTCTCTAATGAAACGTTTCGTCTCTCCTCCAAGAGACTTCTTAAAAGCCTGAATTTTGCCTGAAACTCTCAGACTGAAGAAGTCTCTTGGAGAAGAGACGAAACGTTTCATTAGAGAAGAACCCGTCCAGAAGACCTATAAAAAAATTTTTCTTTTTGGTGAAAAAGCTTCTTTTTTTTTTTTTGGTCATAAAACATGACTCTAAGCTGCTCAGCTTAATTCCAGTAAAGAGTTTTAACTCACTTTAATRACAACAAAACATCCATCAGTGAAAAGCTGTTCCAGTGGTGGTTTTTTTTTTTAATTCTACATTTTGTTTTAAAAGGTTGCATGCACTTCACTGGCAAATTTATCGGTCGGCCACCATTCTTATCTTATCTGTCTGAAACAGTTTTCTCGAGAATGAGACGTCTCAATCGGATTACCTGTATGGATAAAGGTCAATACTAAATAGCAATGTAAGGCTGGAGCAGCAACGTTTACCATGGATGGACCATGCAGATATGGAGCTGAGGCAAAGAAAAAAAAAGATGAAAAGGAGGAGGAGGAGGAGGTGCTGGCTGCAGTAAGTGGGGCAGAGGAGCAGACAGAGCATCAAGTCAGTCCTGATGTGCGAGTTCTGGTGGATTCCCTGCAGCAGGATGACCTATGCACATGTTGGAGCGCACATTCCTGAGTCACAGCACAATGAAGAGCCCGCAGCCAAACACACGCACACACATACTTGGGAACACAATAGTGAAAGCAAAACACACTTCTTTTTTTTTTTAAATGGCAACATCAAAATAGGACATGTGGACCTCCAGAAGCAGAACATGAGCTCACATAGGGATGGGACGTCCTGCTTAGCTCTGAGCGCTTACACTGTATCATGTCATGCATAAAGGCCCCAGAACAGGAAAAAAAAAGGACCCGCATTGTTCCGGTCTAGTTGTGTTGCGCCTCTGTCATGCGCCCGGCACGGCTCGGACACACACACACAAAAGCGCAGGGAAACAGCTTCTGGCCACGACCATCCATCGCCTCGCCTACGCCCATTCACAGTTTTACAACCCAGTTGTCCTGGCATCCCCTCCCCTCCTCCTCCCCTTCACTCCACTCCTCTGATCTGACCGGGATTAACCAATCTGTAGATTTCACTGCGCGTGGGTTTTCCAGTCCTCCTGCACCACACATGTGTCGGCAAAAATATGCTGATTTAAACATGGCTGAAAGCTGACTTGCTGTGAATCGACCCCCACGGTGCTTCAGATGCAATTAATAATCAGTGTTTGCCATGCTGACCCAACTTTCACAGCCCGGTCAGTGCGCGAAACAAAGAGAAAATAGAAAACGCGAAAGGTCTGTGTTTTTGCTGCTTCTTTAATCATCCTAATCGGATTTGAGATTCTCTCTCTGAGGTGTGGAAACGCGCATCGTGGAACGTTTCGGCGGATGGATGGATGGATGGATGGATGGATGGATGGATGGATGGATGGATGGATGGATGGATGGACGGCGGCGCGTCCAGCCGCTCCTTCATCAGACAATAAACACCGGGAAATAATCAGCGACTCACCTCGTGATCTGAGGAGGAGACAGGCGGACAGGGGGGGTCTCTGAAGGGTGGAGAGGAGAGGGTTAATCCCCTCCTTCCCAAAAAATATAATCCGTGGTGTTGGAGAGAGGTTGAAGCTTCCTGGGGAGAGAGAAAAAAATCCGCGGCGTCCAGCTCGGACCAGACGGTGAGGATGATGGTGGAGGAGGAGGAGGAGGAGGAGGAGGCTATGTGCTGGATGCTGTCATCGTGTTGGGACTGTACTGCTCTGCTCTCAGCTAATCCTCGGCCCTGAGCTCAGAATAAGCCACCCCCTCCCTGTGAGAGCTTCTCCTCCCAGCTGCTTCCATCACTGGCTGTATACAAACAAAAAGCACTCGTTGTTTTTCACTTTTTGACTTCATAATCAGATATTCGTGTTTTTATTTTAGAAACAGGATGAGGATMGTATTTTAGCACGCGTTTCTTTTTCTTCCTTTGTTTATTTCTTTCAATAAAAATAGTCGTAACACTGTAATGTAGCCTATTCTGTTAAAAGGCGTCATATCTACACAAAGAACCAAGATAATCAGGTTCTAATTTGGACTCATTTAATTATTTATTTGGCTTTCTGCAACAGAAGTGTGATAATAATCTCTATCTCTCTATCTATCCAGTGTTACGGGGGTCCCAAAGAACCAAACGTTTTGTTTGTGCTTGTATTTTTTTATTAACTTTTTTAAGTTTAGTTTATCTTTTCTAATAAAACTAATAAAAAAACATAAACGGCGTCATATTCTGTAGAATACTTGAGTTTAAACCACCTCTTAGTGGTCGAATTGGGTTATTGCTGTATTTTGTTTTACACAATGCGATGTCGCGCGGTTTGTCCCTCGGTGCGCACCGTCCTACGCAGCCATCTACTTCCGTTGTGACGTATTTCCGTTCAGATTTCCTCCCATGCTAGCTGAGCACGGTGAATTTCCAATTTACAGTTTGGAACGAAACTACAGATCAAAAAAATGTTCAAACTGGAAGGACTGGGACCTAAAATGGACCCGGAGGAGATGAAGAAGAAAATGCGAAACGACGTCATTTCATCTTTACGAAACTTTCTGATTTACGTCGCTCTGCTCAGAGCCAGTGAGTACAATTTAACACGATTGACTCAATTATCCGCACATTTATATGCTTATTTATGTATTTTATATATACAGAATAACAAATATTTAGTCAGCTTCTTGTGAATTTAATATTCGGACCATAAAAATCTCAAACTAACCACTAAAGAAGAATTAAACAGCTAAAATAGTCACCTTGAAACTTCTCTAAAGGTTTACTATTATATAACACGTGTTTCATATGACCTTAAACCACAGACACAAACATCTAACAAAGCAACAAAATTACACACAATTCAATTGTAAACTGGTAACATTATCTTAATCTTAATCAGAATTAGTTATATGTTAATAATAAAATATTCAAATAAGCATAATCTAATTAAAATGTGTTAGGATTAATATTAATCAGACAAAGAGTAGTATAATAAACTACTAATGTCGAGTTTTGTGACGCAAAACAAATCTATTAAAACAGAACTAGTGTTAAAGTTAACTTTTCACAGTATAACAAAGCATTATTTTAAAACCTAATGCAAAAATATTATTAAAATACTGATGATCTTTTTAYTTGTTGATGTGTTTTGTGCCTCAGAGCCTCTTTATGCATGCTTTTAGGTGTTTTCTTTCAGTATATTTACAAGAGTTGCAAAAAATTTCACCCCATTTAGTTTTAATTATAGCACACATTAGCAGTGACTTTGTCTCTGGAGTCTCTTTAGTTTTCCACCACGACCTGGTTTCTGCTGGTGAAAGGAGATATGATCCACAGTGGAAAGGCATCCCTAAACCCAGTTTCCTCAGTTTAAGGTTATGACACTGTTCCCACAGACTTGTTCTAGAGGCTTCTTGTTTCCGCCTGAATCATACATAAATCTGTGCAGGCTCTTGTAATAAAAGGCTTAAACACATTAGTGTAGTTAACTCTTTTGTGACGTGTCTCAGTAATCGTATATTTTTACCAGCCGTCACATCAAACGTTGTCATCACTTTCCTCTGTTAACAGCTCCGTATGTGTTAAAGAAGTTGGACAGCATATGAGCCAGGCCATCTGCTCCTCCATCCTCCATCCCTCCACCCAACAAGAATCTCCTACATCAGAGACCGTGAGGACCCTCTGACACAGTCAGAGGCATCACATCATCACACGAGAAGATGACCACTTTCTTCCCTTCTCTTCACCTGACACCCCAGCTGTCTTCAGTTCCAGTTTTGCTCCATCTTCRTCATGCATTTTTATATATTTTATCCACTGGTAATTTAMCATTAAATATTTGTTAAATGCAGAGGTTGCACTTGTGTTCTGCCTCCTGTTTCAGACTGTTTAGGAAACAAAGTGTTCTAATGGTTTAAAAAGTGTCGAGTTTGTCAGCTAAAATTAAATGTCAAGTTTCATTTTTGTCAAGTCKTATTTTCTTTTRCAATAGATGCCACATTGTAGAGACAACAAATGATGAATTACTGAAGATGCCCCCCSCCCCCCMMAAAAAAAMAMAAAAAAAAAAAAAAACACTAAAAGCATTTATACATGCATTTATTTTTGCTGAGTCATGGTTGGGTCACAAAGGCAAAAAGAAGAGGAGGAATCCCAGGCCAGAGTGGATATCAAATCCCTTCAATAAGTTCCCTCGACAGGCTGCTATCGATGCTGAGGTGCAGCATCTTTACTCCAAGTTCCTCATCTTATCTCTAAAGCTGAGCATCATGCAGAGGAAGCTCATTTCATCAGCTTGTATCTAAAGAGCTTATTCATTCAGTCATGCCATCCACCTCCCACTCTACAGATATTGATCCAAAACTACGTGTACACTGATGGCAAGCTAGCCTGGTTAAAACMAGCCCCTTGTCCTTCGCTTTACTCGAACTGAGCGGAACTGCGAAGGAAGGCAAGGGCTTGGCTAATGTCAAACAAATCATGCAAGAACTGTGACTGAGACTCAGTCAAATACTGTCAATTATATTGGCAAAATATCATGAAGCAGCTCCACAACTGATCGACTGTGACAACCAGTTAAATACAAAATGACCATCCCAGTCAATCAAGCACTGGAAAACACAAAAATGGTTGTAATTCCATCAATTTTAATGCTATTGTGCTAAAATTTTAGGTGATTGTTGCCGAGAGTCATCCCTAACACGTACTTTGTCTGTCATGATATGAGATTGTGCATAACCTTGTTTTTGAGGTTTGAACCAAGATGACAATTCTTCTCAACATGAAATGATCCCTTTGAAACTTTAGGCCTTATTATAATGTGACAGGTGATGTGTAATTTTAATTATGGTTTTAGATCTGAAACAAGTCAGACTTGTCAGAAATTCTCTTAAAGTCTTTTCAAATCTGTAATTTTCCTTCATAGAATCAAAGCATCATTCATTCATTCAAATCTGAAGTTGATGCTGTAGTTCCTTTGATTCACCGCTAGGGSGCGGTGTGCTCAAACGCTGCGAGTTACAAACGAAGGATTTGACAATGGATGCCAAACGGAGCGAATCTGTGAGTTTTTTCTTTTTGGATCTGTAACATTATAATATTACCGAGGTTATGCCCGCGGTTTTATTTTAGCAGTCTACACACGGAAGTGGTGACTTTAGTTTTATTATTTGGAGACAAAAGCTCTCCTATGGCTCCCGCATCCCTCCGTGTTCTGGTCCAGACCCGCCCAGACGCCGGAGCATCTCAGCTTAATCATCAAACAATGCTCTTCYAAAAACACCATGTAGGATATATAACGTTTTGATTGCCTTTTTTTCCTTCCTTTTTTTCAATATTAATACTATAAAGTGATATTTTGAGTAAGAAGCTGTGATGGAYTTCCCAGGCCATTTCCAGTTCATTTTCAAGCAGCTCAACCAGCAGCGCCTCCACTCCCAGCTGTGTGACTGYGTGGTGCTGGTTGGAGGCCAGACCTTCAGGGCTCACCGCTCCATCCTGGCCGCCTGCAGCTCTCACTTCAGGGCTCTCCTYGGCTCCAACGACGAGGCCTCGGGGGGAGCCCAGAGAGATGGGGCACCCCTTGTGATGGAGCTSGACCCCGAGGTCGTGACCCCAGAGGCCTTCTCCACTCTGCTGGACATGATCTACACCTCCACCCTCTCCTTGGTGGCGTCCAATGCGATGGACGTGTTGTTGGCGGCGTCCCACCTGCACCTCAACACGGTGGTCAAGGCGTGCAAGCTCCACCTGTCCAGGAAGAACTTCCCTACGTCGGCGCCTAAAGGGTGGAGGTCAGTGAAGCAGCWGCAGCGGGTCACATCAGCCACAGAGGATGGCTCTGATGAGGAGGACGCTGTGGTGGAGGTGAGTCAGTCTGCTGAAGAAGGCGGCGGCAGGAAAATGAGACAATCGTTGAGGCAAAAGAGAAAATCACAYGAAGAGAGGCTTGATGACAAGAAGAGAATCACCAGGCTGCCTGACGGGAGCTATAAGGAGCATTCGCCGACTGTGACCAGAAGCACAGAGGAAGGAGGAGGAGGAGGAGACCTGTCCTCCCCAGACTGGCCGAAGATGACTGACTGCTGGGGGAACCAAGGCGACGAAGAGGAGGAAAAGAAATACCAAGCAGCTAAGGGGGAATCGGAAGAAATCCAGCTGCCGACGCAGTCCGACAGCAGCTCGGGAGGAGCTGAGGCTTGCRGGAAGGGTGAAGCTGAAGACGGAGACAACGTGGTGAAAATAAAAGTGGGAGAGGAGGAGCAGGACGAACCGACGGCGGAGGTGATCGAGGTGAAACGGGAAAATCTCTGCTCGTTTGCCTCGGATTTAGATCCGCCGCCCAACGCTTCCCCTCCAGCTCTGCTGCACGACTGCACGGACGGTTTAGAGGCACGGGCGACCGGTGAGAAGACGAGCACAGCTGAGCCCGATCACGGCTCGTCGTGCACAGATCCTTTGAGAGAAGCTGGGGCTTTGGATGAGGACACGGTGGACGGTGAAGGCCTGGACAGCCTGTCTGAGCTGGCCTTCTGCTTCCTCAACCCCAGCAGTGACAGCGTGATGGGGGCTCTGGGCGAAGACGACAGCCTCCTTAGCCTCACAGCCGCTGCTACAGCCGCTGCCGCCGCTGCCAGCGATGCTCCTGCAGCTCATGATGTAGGTCCACAGATCGAAAAGCAAGAACTGGGCACGCCGTCGGCCCAGTGCTCGGATTCTTCATCTTCTCTGGTTTTCCCAGTSTCCTCTGTCCCCTTGCAGCAGCTTCTCCCAACTAGCGACACCATCATCCTCCAGCCCACTCAGAGCTCTCTGACAGGATTCTTCAGGCCGGGTCTAATCCCGGACGCCCCCCTCGTCCAAACCTCCAGGCCCGCCAAAGTCTCCGGGGCGACAGCCTTCCGCCGCATCGCTCCCAAAGTGCCGCCCGGCTCGGAAGCCGAAGCAGACGCGCCCCCCGGGTCGGAGGCCGCGGGACGACCCGCCCTGACTCGAGCGTCCGAGGACGTTTTGTCCAAGTGCAAGAAAGCGGCGGCCGAGGACCACGTGCTGCTGGTGGAAGGCGAGAAGAAGTACGCCTGCAAGATCTGCTGCAAGACCTTCATGAACCTGACGGACTGCAAGAARCACATTCGGGTCCACACGGGGGAAAAGCCCTACCCCTGTCCCAAGTGTGGCAAACGCTTCAGCCAGTCCTCGCACCTCTATAAGCACTCCAAAAACAGCTGCGTCAACTGGAAAGACCACCAGTCTCTTCCAGACTCTCTACTCTAGCAGATGTTCCCAGATAGAGTCAGAACTTCAGAGAAAAACCTTTTAGATGWTCTTGTTTTAGTCTTACATGAAATCTAAGTGGGGGTGCATCGATTGCAGTTTTAGATTTTGGCCGATACCAATATGTTTTTAATACACCTTCAATGTTCCAGTCTTATTTTATTGAAAAAACATCAAACAATACCCTTGAAACGTTATAAACGTGTTTTAACTGGACACTAGTAGTGCTCACAGCAGAGCTAAAGTGGCTGATTTTCAGACTTTTGTGGAGGAAGAAAAGAAGCAGATCTTTTTCCATAGACCAGTCTTATCCAAATATTACCTTATCTTCCAAAATTAAGGAAATCGCCCGGCCGGTTTATCAGTGCACCCCTACCAGGTTGTTTTTATTTTAGTATCCCATTCAATTAAAGCAATAAGACGTCGCTACATAATGCAGATGTAGTTAAAATGCACTGCAAAACTGTTTGTAATTAGGGTTGGGCAATATTGGCAAAAAAATTAAATTAYGATTAATTGTGGTATTTAGCTGATAACGATTCACTTGACGATTAATCCCCTGGAKTCCCTGGACACTATTATGTCCTAGTCACATGACCAGTTTAGTTGGAAACTTTTGCTCTTCATAAAAATCTGTTCCAAATTGTGTCAAAATTACAGACTTCAGGCTATACATCAAATTTTAAATTGCGTTGATAAATAAATTACAGAACCTTTTTTTGTAATGTGAATATTTGTATTATTATGTAATATTTTCTTCATATTTGAAGCACCGAGCGGACTCTGCCTGGTGGCGTCGATCGTATTAATCGTCAAGTGCAAAAAAATGATTGTTTAATGTTTTTCTGACGATTAATTGCACACGATAAGATTATGCCCAACTCTATTTGTAATGCAGATGTTGTAGAAAAAGTCATGAGAGTAAATGTATTTGGTAAATTTTATTAATGTGTTTTTATCAAGGGGTAATTTAATAAAAAAAATACATTTTTTGGAAGTATATTTATGCTTGATATCAAACTGGGGTGATTGAGGGTTTAGTGAGTGCAGACTTAGAGCATTAAAAAGTAAAATAAAGTGCTGATCAGAACATGTAAGACTCGTTTTTTTAAGCATCACATTGAAAGTAGATAAGAAAAAAAAATAAAGCCTTTTATCTATTTTGGCTATTTTTTTCTACAAAGATTGGTATTGAACTTGATGAAAAACAAAAATGTGCTGCTTCTCGGTTCATTAGCCTCTTTTTCTAAGAACTAAAACAGACAAAATGACCAAAAAAAAGTAGTTTCCTTCCTCAAATTGCTTCTTCTTTATTACAAAAGTAACTCAGTATTAAGTGTGTCGAAGTGAAATGAACTTTTTAAGACACCCAAACTGGTTCCTGCACATCAAGTGTTAGTTTTCCTTTCTACTTCTTCTCTGTTATACGTTACTTTTCTCTGTCATCCATTCAGGGCCAGTGGGGACAGAAGGCACGTCGGTGTCATTTAAAAGCTGAGTTCGCTGGGCATGTCTGAGCCCTGCAAGCCTCCCAGCAGGTTTCGAGCAGCCAAATCTGACATGACACCTCTTGTGGAGTAAGTGGCGCTGCCGATGTGTGGTAATATGACTGCACGAGACAAGAGATGGGACAAAGTGTAAGAGTTCAAATTAGAGCCTAACGTCTCGCTTTTGGGRGATAAAAATAAATAAATTGACTGCTGTGACTTGTTTTCTACTTACCGCAGTTTTTCAGTGTAAGAAGAGGGTGGTTCGTTGGAAGGGGCTCGGGGGTCGTGACATCCAGTCCGGCTGCAGCGATCTGTCCACTTCTCAAAGCCTCGTACAGATCCTCCTGGTTCACCACAGYTCCTCTGAAACAAACAGTTTCTCACATCTCCATCTTTATGTATACTCAGCACAAAAATAAGGACATTTATGTTTGGTAGATTACATCTTAGTTGTAACAATGTTTCTTGGCAATAAATCTCATACCATTGGAAAGCCTGTTAAATTACCTTTTAAATAGTGCCACATTTGTAAGGAACATGCATTTGTGGCATGAGCCGTAGAGTGTGGATTGTGCAAATGAACAGTTTGCCAGATTTTCTCTGCCAAACAGCGTTTTTTGTTATCAACACTTGTTTCAAGCATCTGGTAACCCAAGGCAGTGTTTCCCAACCCTGGTCCTCCAGGCACTCTGCCCTGCATGTTAAAGGTTTCCCTGCTCTTAGCACCTGATTCAGATGATTGCAGTTTCAACAAAAGCCTGCTTGCTAATCAGTTTAAATCAGCTGTGTTGAAGCAGGGAAACATCTAAAACATGCAGGACAGTGTGCCTTGAGGACCAGGATTTAAAAACACTGCCCCAAGGTACCAATCGGGTGCCGATTATAAGATTTATTGCAAAGAAGAATTGTTACAAAAAATAAATAATTAAACACTAATTTCTATACTTGTTAAATAAAGATACATCGTTGTTTTAGACTAAGCTCATTGTATGTGAAAAAATGGCAGAAGTTTTAGCCATTTTGGTAAAATTTTGATAATACCATGCTATCTCATGTAATATCTTGGGTGTGAATGACTTTCTGCTACCGCACCAAAGTTCAGCTGAAAAATCTATAAAATTCGCTGAATTGTAGAAACTTTTTAGACTAAATTTGATGAGCTGTGGCAGCCACCTTGAACTGGGCTGACTCCAAAAGGTGACCAGTTGAAGAGGCTTTTCCTGTCATCGTTTTCTGAGAGTTTCATTATGTGTGCAACAAACATTAGCGCTTCACCGTTCCCTTTCAGGGATAACAAAGCGCTTTTAGGTGCTTTCCAGAAGGTGGGGCGTCAGTCGTCGTGTGTCGTTTTGAAATCCCACCTGCTGGAGTTGATGAAGACCGCCGTTTTTTTCATCTTGCCGAAGAAAGCTTTGCTACACAGGCCTTGGGTTTCTGGTGTCAGCGAGCAGGAAACAACGATGAAGTCGCTCTCAGACACAAGTGTATCCAGGGGAACTGTTCGGCGGGAGGTACAAACAGAGGGTTAAATGTGCAAATCTATCAGCAAAAACCTCGATTCTTGATTTTGTTTGACTCAGCCTCCCCTGTGCTCATTCCCACTTTGAGGTGCACGCTTTTCTACACCATCTCACCGAACTCTCCGTTCACTTCTGCAGCGTGTGGTTTGGCTGATCTCCCAGAATACAGCAGCCGCTTCACTCCAAAGGGCATGAGCCTCTTAGCTATTGCCATCCCTGAACGCAAACATTTTCAACAAGCCAATCTTAAACTCAAGAAGCTTTTTAATACACCCTGAGATAACAAAGCGTAATAAAACTAACCGATGCGTCCGAGTCCGATGACTCCTACAGTGCTGCCCGACAGACCGTAACCACACAGCCAGAGAGGCTTCCACGAGCTCCAGCCGCCACTGAGACGAGCAAAACAGTACGTCCATTGTGTCACTGATTGAAAGCATTTGCTTCCTTTTGGGGTTAAAAAGTAACAGAAGCACAAATATCAAACACGATTAGCCTGCATGAATAACCTGGTGAGGCTGACCTTTTGACCTCCTCCACGCCCTCCGGCAATCTGCGAGCGGTGGCGAGCAGCAGAGCCACGGTCAGCTCTGCAGTGGCGTCGGTCAGGACGTCGGGAGTGTATCCGACACGTATCCCACTGGGTAGAGTAAACCAAATGATTGGAAATGTCCTTTAAACTTTTTGCAAATCGGGATTTGTTAGTCCAACTCACCGCTTTTTGATCTCATCCAGAGCCAGGTGGTCAAATCCCACAGACAGGGTGCTGATTACTTTCAGGTTTGGACCTGAAATCAGAGACAGCTCAGATGAAATGTAAACACAGTCACCGCTGTGCTATTTATAATCACTAGGTTAAATATCAAATAAACAGCATTAAAGACTAATCCATATTAAAAAGTCCAACCACGTTCATGCAGGTTTCAGTGAGTTAAATTTAAATGGTAAATGGTACTGAACTTATAGAGCGCTTTTCAGTCCCTCCGGACCCCCAAAGCGCTTTACACTAACAGACATTCACCCATTCACACTCACATTCACACACTGATGATGGCAAACTACACTGTAGCCACAGCTGCCCTGGGGCACACTGACAGAGGTGGGGCTGCCATGCATCGGCGCCACCGGACCCTCTGACCACCATCAGTAGGCAAGGTGGGTGAAGTGTCTTGCCCAAGGACACAACGACTGAGACGGCTGGACGGGGGATCGAACCAGTGACCTTCTGGTTCCAGGACGACTCCCCTAACCACTCCGCCACAGCCGCCCCTTAAGACATTTTCAAGAATTTTAAGATCATTGTGACTGACATTTAAGACCAAACAGAAAACAGAAACATTCAAATGGTCCCAGAAGTGTTAACATAAACTTTTATTGCTATCAATTTAGCTATTAAAGAATACTTAATTTTAATACAAGAACACTAAATTATTTTAAGGAAATGATCATGTCTGAGACCTTCACATTGACTTCTGTGGACCGCACACTTTCCCATGTTTAAACAACAAGCAGTGGACAGGACTAAACTTTTGAACAAGTCGACAGATGCAGGGGGTTGTAGCAGCAAAAAAGGTSTAAAACATGGAAGTAAACAGCTGTTTTTTGCCTGCAGTTATCACAGGATTTGTAGTTTAACCACGTACCAAGACCGGTAGCAAACAGCACTTCAACGTCTTGATTACGGCGCTTTAATCTGTTTATTTATGCAGCTAACGCTTCTCGGGAATGACCGAAAGTAAAAAATTAAGACTTGACAAAATTAAATTTAAGACCTTTGATGAACATCTGGTTGTTTTAAAGACTTTTTTAAGTCTAAATTTTTGATTTTCAAATTTGTCCAACTCAAGTTTAAATAGTTGACAACATTCTGTTATGTAGCTTCAACTGTAAAAACTACTACCTTATTCTTATCTTATACCCTGCTCTGCCCCATATAGTATGGTACATATTTGTGTTTACTTTTTGCAGAAAATGCCTATATATTTGTCAGGGAGAAAGAATGTCAGTTTAATAAAATAACTTTAATTCAGTTAATATTAAAAAATTGATATATAGTCTGATAGCAATATGTCATACCCAATGTTTGGGGGAAGTACATTATGACACAAACACAGTAAGAAGAAGGTTTGTTATTAAAAAATTTAAACATTTAATATTTAAAATCATGGAAGAGGTGTGCAAAACAGCTGTAAATAAAACTGATCTCATGTGTGAAACATGCATCCGTGCCAAGACTTTTCACCATTGATGCAAAGACGTCTCAGAAAACTATTTTTAAATGCAGAGAACAAACTGAATGTATGAAACTGACCCTTAAAACGTCGTTCTGCTACAGAATGGTTCAAGAAGACGACAGCCAATATTTGAAAGTCTTGACGGCGATAGCAGTAAGTAAAGCATAATGCAGTTGTGCAATGTTGCAGTCAAGTCAGAGAGACGAGGCGTACCTGCAGCATCTAGAACCTCTGCATCCACCTGGTCAGACAGCAAACACAGCAGACCATGAACTCCCTGAACTCCCTGGAGAAGCTCTGTCCTGGGGATAGGTTCATCAGAGTCCCACTGAGACACCTCACAGCTGTGGAGATATTCCATAAAGTCATGTTTATTTAGCCTGATTTAGACTCATTATAGAACATAGGCTGACATTTTTACTACTGAAAGCTAAGTGTGGGAGGCTCAGTGGCCTTTAACATTTAATCATTTACTCAAAATAGCTCTTCCTGCAACTCTCTTTCACTATGTAAGGAGAAAAATATAATCTATATACATCGGTACCCTCACAAAAGTCTATCATCAGTTTAATGTGCTGTTCATTCAATGTGAAACAAGGATTTTGGGGTTAACCGTTAAAAAAAACTTCTTCGTACACTCCTGCTGAGGACAGGATCTTCAGCCCCTCCTGCGGGATGCGCCTCGTGATGAAAACTTTCATCGGTTCGCCGACAGCTCCAAGTCCTGTATTAAATCAAAGGTCCTCTTTGGACAGAAGATGAGGCTAATGGTCGCCTGTTAAGATTGCACCTTGAACTGCTGCAGCTGTCAGTGAGAGCTACACCGCTACAGAACACAGGAAGTGCTTTTTGTACTGCGCATGCGCGAAMAATTAACCCCCCGCGTGCGAAACCTGGTAACCTACTTCAGAAATCAATTTAAAGGGTAATAAAGTAATTAGTGATATAATATTTTCCCTATAATTATTATAAAAACACAAAATAAGTATAAATAAGTATTTATATTTGTGTAGCCTTTGTTTTTAGGGTTATTAACGAAGTTCATGTACTCAGACCAGTAATATTTGGGGTCACAAGTTTTTGCCATGAATATTTTGTGGGTCAGAAGATAAAAAGTTTGGGAACCACTGACCTAGACCAGTGGTTCCCAAACTTTTTATCCACTTTTTATCCACAAAAATATTCATGGCAAAAACTTGTGACCCCAAATATTACTGGTCTGAGTACACAAACTTTGTTAATAACCCTAAAAACACAGGCTTTTTGACAATCTAAACAGCTTCTACACAAATGTAAATACTTATTTATACTTATTTTGTGTTTTTGTAATAGTTATAGGGAAAATATTACATCAGCAATTATTTTATTACCCTTTAAATTGATTTCTGGAGATTATCCAAGGTGCTTCATGACCCATAATTGGGTCCCAAGCCCAACTTTGGGAACCAAAGTGCAGTGGTTCCCAAACTTTTCAGCTTTTGACCCACAAAATAACAGAAGCAGAGACCTGTGCCCCCAACTATTTTTGGATGATAAACATTTGTATCAGGTCAACAAAACATGGGCATAGTAACAATATTTTTATACTACATTTATCCATTTTAAATATACTAACCTCATTAATTTGTAACAAATAAGACAAAAATGTAATTAATTCAGAAACCTTTTTCAGGACCCCACCTTGATGTTCCAGGACCCCACTTTGGGTCCTGACCCCAACTTTGGGAACCACTGAGACCATGCAGTATTTTCTACTCTGTATGTTTCAAAATCTCACTTTTAAATCCAATGCATTTCACATTAAGTGTTTAAAAACGATGATAAACAGCTTGATTAATGGCCTAAAAATTAGGAGCTATATATTAGTTTAATCTAAATTCATTCAGTATCATTTCAGTTTCAATTCAGTGGCTGAAGAATCTGAACAAATATCACATTGTAGCAGAGGTCTATAAAGTACTTGGGAAAAAAACAAGTACACGTAAAATTACAAGAACAGAAAAAGACTTTGGTAAAAATACATTTCACTGATGAGAAAACTACTTAAATAAAAGTCATAAAACTGTTCACAAAAATTGGAAAAGTAAAAGTATATCAACACACTCTCTAATAAATAAATTTGTTGAATTTACTGAACCAAACTGGTTCCACTAAGCCAGGTTGAGTAAACTGAGCAATATATGTATATTATTTGCTCTGGCTTAGTGGAGCCAGTTGACATGAATTTGTTGAGTAAATTCAACTCGTCATTTTTAGAGTGCATAAACATCTTTCATGATGAGTTTGAACACATGTAACAACTAGGTGTTACATTTTAAAGTAAAGAAGTAAAAGTATAAATTTTAACTTTAAAATGTAACAAAGTAAAAGTAGCTGTTTAAAAAACAGTTGTTAAAATTATAAACCCTCAAAACAATTCTTAAGTAGGCCACTGTAACAAAGTAGGAATGTACTTAGTTACTGTAAAGCTCTGCATTGTAGGGACGTCAGCAATGTAATATTACTACTTATATTGAAAAATCTCAGAACGATTACCATGAGGTCAGTCAACACAAAGTACAAAATGAGATGTATCTTGCTGATTTAATTAATTGTTATTGTGGGATTATTTTACTGTCATGAGTCTGTTTTTTCCCCTAATGAATTCTGCATGTTAATATAAAATTATTCAAATCATCTCTTTTCTTAAAGAAAGTGATTCATTCCTGAAAGGCCATGCCTTGCATGAGTCGCTGAATTGTTTCAGTTTGAAATTATGTTAGTCACGTTTCTTCTATCTATCTATCTATCTATCTATCTATCTATCTATCTATCTATCTATCTATCTATCTATCTATCTATCTATCTATCTATCTAT